TGTTCTACTTTCTCCACCACTTTTAGCACTATCTGGCATTCTCTTATGTTTGTAAGTCTGTTGTCTGCTTCACCCACCATGCGACATTCCATGACCACAATAGTTCCCTGTACCTATAAAACTACCAGACAGGTAGAACGTGCTTGATAAATATTTAATCAGTAAATTATCTCCATGGTACAAGTCAGGGTACAAACTTTATAAACATCCAAAAGTTCAGTCTATTTACTTTGAAATCACACCTTTTACAGGAGTTGGGGAAGCTGACCCCTCAGAGAACAATAGGTACCCACCTCCCAGCAGAACAGCAAGGGTTCAAACTGGAAACCAGGGGGTCATCAAAGACTTATCATGTTCTCACACTAATCTTCCCTTGCCATGGTCTTATGTCAGATGGCAGACTATGCTTATGGGCCTTTCCTGAGAGCTTATAAATAAGTCTGAGCTCATCACTGACCCCAGAATGGCTCATGTGGCAACTCACTCTCAGCTTGCTCAGTTAGTAGGACTGCACCCAGTGAAGTCAGCAAAGAACTTCCAGAACAACAACCAGCACCTGCGTGTCCAAACACCACACATTTAAGGCCCTCTCTCAAACTTGAACCCTGGTGTCTATAAAAGCATTTCATCCTAATAGTGCCACAGTGTTATGAATTGGCCATTCTAATGAGAAATGATTATCTGACTTATTTCATTCAAGTAAATACTTAAAAGAATCAGTAAGTGCATCATAAACTATAGAGTGCTGGTCTTCAAGCAAGTGGCACACTTACCAGTATACATTTGTGAGCTCTTTGGTCATAAATTCCTCAAAATGGTACTTGATATTTTTCAATTTTTTAAAAGTTCACATTAAAGTGATTTAAGGGGCCTCCCTGGTGGTGCAGGGGTTAAAGGCACAGCACTATCAAGCTACTGCCAGCCTCTACAGCATGAGTTGGAGGCGTGGCCAGCCAGGGAACTGATCCACATGGCACAGCAGACCACTCCTGTCTCACCCATTGCTCTCCTCAGCAATTTTTTAAAATTTCAGTCTGTCTGCCTGTTTTGCTTCCCACTGTTTCTGGTGACTCCTCTAACCTCCTGTACCTCTGGCCTGCACCCCAGTTATTGTATGCATAAATAAATATATCTCTAAATAAATTAATTAAATAATTCCAAGTTTATATTGAATGCAAAACAATGACTCCCTCTTATTAAGTCTAATTTCATATTTGATAAAACAATTCAGTGGGCATTATACATTGGAGAAATCAGTACTATTTTATTATAGACTGCAGTCTTAGAAAAGAGAATGTCATCTGCAAAATGAACAGCCAACAAATTGCATGTATTTCACACATGTACAATCACATGCTTCAGTGTAGTGCAAAAGTCTTGCCTTTCAAGTGAGGAGTCGGTAAGATAAGTAAGTTCTCCAGCTTGGTAAAAGCAGAATAACTGAATGAATAGGAGAAAAAGTAGGTGGTTTTGAAAGGCAGCTATGCTCACCACCATACAACCAATGCAGTAGGTGGTTTTGAATTGTGAGTGCTGGCTCTCTAGTGTTTAGCTGTGTCATCACTGTGAGGATATGAATTTGGGCATTTTACTTAAATCTTCTGAGTCTGCATCTCTTCATCTGAAAAGCAGAAATACTTCAAAGATTTGTTAATGCGAGTTAATTGTATGCAAAACAATCAGCACAATTCTAAACATTGCATTCATAAATAATAAAGATCCTGGCATGCATTTCTTACTTTCCAAATTCAGAATAATTTCTTCAAAGAACTACAGAATTTGGAGGGACTCAGGGTTACTTGGATTGATAACCAACAGATTTAATGTTGAGCATGTAGATATCTGAGCTCAGACATAGCAGACAATTTATATCTATTAGTGCCAAGTTAAACACCATCCAGTTCAGTTGGAGTTTTGGTTATAAACGTAAGTTCTATAAAACTACTCTGAAAGGTACCCAAGGAAAAATATCTTACTTATGCTATAGCTATTGTTGTCATTTATGAAAATAGTCCTTTTCCAGTTCAGCAGAGGGGGGATCACATGTCCCTTACCTCAAATAGCTGCTTTTTACTTTCTATTTCTGTTTATGACAATGTCTTAGATTTATGTAACTTTTTTCTATAGTGTGTTTTCATGTACATTTCAGTATAGTTTAATATTCACAATATAATTATGTGATATAGAGGAGCAGGCAGTTTTAAGGCCATTTTTTTTTTTTTTTTGGTTTTTGTTGTAATTCTGATAGGAGTGTGAGACCCAGAGAAGGTAGGTAACTTGTCCAGAAGTTCAATAGGTCTAGGGGGAACTAGCATGGCTGTCTAACAAACTCCCAAGAGTTGCTGCTATAGGAATCCTTAGAACATCCTTTACTATACCCCCAACTGCAATCACGCCATAGGGGATGCTTTCATTTCTCCTGCTAAACTATGAGCTCCCTGAGTACAGGAATGGTGTTTTGTTCAATAATTTGACCTAGCTGTCCAGCACCATACTGGGCAAAATGAAGCTGAATCTTTTCCAAGAGTTAAGTAAAAGTGAGTTTTTGAATTACAAAGTCACAACTCTGGAATATTTAATAACCCCAATTACTTATTGGAAAAAGGATGTTTATCATGTATCCTTTGCTACTTTGCGTCACACTATGAAATCTAGTTGTAACTGTCAGGTCCCAAAATTTATGACTAGAGGAAAGGCAGCAGGATTAACATGTTTAGACTTACGCATTTTGCAGATCTGTAACTAGGTTCTTGTAGAATACAATCTCATCCCTGCACCAATGGGATGTGTTAATGGAGGTCCCTCTAAGTGAAAGAAGGAAGTGTAGAACAGGCCAGATGGAAAACAGACTTGCTTATACTGAACTTGAAAGGAGTCACACCCCTTCTGCCTACTTGAGAGTGCTGACTGCAGCAATCCATCATGGATTATAGGCTTTCTATATGCTAGACACTGTGCTAAGCACTTTGTACCAGTCACCTTATTTCATCCCTTCTACGAATGATAGCAGTATTTATTTTATAAGTAAGGAAGCAGAGACATAGGGTCATTAGTGTGTAAGCCAAGATTCGATCCTCAGCAGTCTGACTTCAGAGTTGGCGCTTGTAACCATTGTTCACTGCCTGGAAGCACACAGGGAAAAGAAACAATTATGCAAAGAGATGAACAGCTTTACTCCCTTTTAGCAACCTGATAGAAGTCCAACAAATCCCAAATAGAAAGGATTAGGGAGAAACACATCATATCAACAAGAGGTGACTTTTACATTCAAAAGGAAGGGTCTGACAATTATTGTAGAATAAAATTGGATTGTCTATTATACAGCAAATGATCAGTTTGACTCTATTTGGCTTATGGTTAAATATACAACACTACTAAAAGGTTAAATAACGTTCAGTTAAATAATAAGTCTCAAAGTTCCCAGTTTCCTTTCATACTTCATTAGGTCTCTTAAGAAACTTTCTAATAATGATTGGGCCAAATCTGAAAAGATGGAAAACAACATGGAAGGAATCAGAATTTTGTGAACCATGTGTGTCCCATGTCAAAAGTCAAAACATCTAGAGGACAGAGAGTTTTGTTTTCAAAAAAACTTAAAAGGCAGAAATATATCAGTTATATTTTGATAGTGTCAGAAAATGAACAAATCAAGAAAACAGGGAAAGAGAACACAGTGTCAAATGGAGTATGAATAAAGGGTAGACGTGATCTCTCTTGTTCGCAAGAGATCTGAAACATGAAGTAAGAAAATAAACCAGACAGTATTAAAATACAGCCTTAGAGTCTTAGATAAAGCACTTTGTGAAAAAAAGGTTAAGCTTTAGAGATCAGTTTTAACTACAGGAGGTATGATTATTTACCTTTGAAGGCAACCTGATACTATGGATTATGAAATCCCAAGATCTGATTGGGCCATATCCTAGTTATGGCCTCAAGTTGGCCTAATTCCTCTGAGATTCCATTTGTCCAGCTGTACAATGTAGAAGAACTGGCCCCCTAGGATCCTGAGAAGCTGTATAGTAAATGGCATCCTGTGAGCATTTAGTCCTGAACAGAAAATCAACATAGGATAGGTGATACCCTATTTCTCTCCTTTCTTACATGTTCAGTTTCCCCAAAAGCATCTCTTTTAAGTATTTCTATTCCTAAGCCTGAGTTTTTGTTGGCAGAAATATAGCATTGTCCAGGATTAAGAAAAACCATCTGAAAGGATCATGCTAAGTCAGAAGGAGGAAGACAAATAAGGATGGTCTCAATTATATGTGGAATATAGAAATGTAAAATAAAAAGGGTCAGGCAAAACAAAGCCATATAATAAATTCTTAAACTGCAAATCTGAAGCAAACAAAGAAAGAGGGTGGGAGAGGGGGGTGGGAGAAGGGAAGGGGTCCATGGAACACTGTGCAAGATAGTTGGGACAGGGGTGAAGGACAGCATGTGAAAGTTTACATTTGTAGAGGTTTGAAGCTATAACCCCCAAAGCAGATACAGAGATCCAAACCTACCTACCTCAATTAACATAAGTTGGGGAAAAAAGAAAGAAAACAATCTTGCACACACATGAAATATGTATAAAGAAAATGAGTATAAACTCCTGGTATATCAGATAGAAAAAAATATTGTGTATTAAACTTGATGTGTTAACTATAGAACCATGCAAAATATAACATAGTTCAACAAGTCCTAAAAAGCCAACATCACTTAAAAGTTCATTCACAAATCTTATTCCGTCTACTAAACAGCAACCATGGAAAAATCAAGAAATTTTATGACTTAAAAGTGCAGATTTTGGAAAAAAAATCCCTCATCGATTTATGTGAATGTTTCATAAGCCATAAAAAAACTAAGCACTATACAATGTTGTTTTTATTGCAATCACCTGCTGACTTTTAGAATAAATTGGAGGCATTTGTCATATTAAAATCACTCAACATATTAAACTACAGGTTTTTATTCACCAGAATTCAATTTGAAATTTACATGTAAGGGAAGATAGCTTCCTAAGAAGTTAGAACAACATATATAATAGACATTACGTCAACAAAGATAACTAACAAAATTTTGAGAAGTCTTCCCACAATTTCATCTTCCAGACTTGTGGGTGTAGGAGTAGAAATTAATATCCAGTTTTTACAAGCCATATTGAAAATTCTCTTGTTCCCTAGGAAAAAAAGAAAAGTATCCTCAAATACATGCATTTATAATTCTGATTTTTAACTCAGTCTAATATTTCCAATGTTAAGAAATCATGATGAAATCTTTCAGGATGGATTCTGCACATATTCTAAGCAACCAATGAGCTAAAAAGGTTTTCTCCTAAGTGGTTTGAAATCATTTTATCCACTTACTTTGACCACTTCATGTCATAATCATAGATTTTTCTCTATGTCTAATTTACCTTTCTTTCTAGAATCAACACAATAGTAACTATCAGAAAGACAATTCTTTTCTTTTAAACATTATCAATAGTTTATTTATGACGTTTTATCTGCAGAGTCATTTACAGTCATTTTTGTTCAGCTCAGCAAAGCTGCCATGTTTCCATCCTAAATTGTCATTGTTACCAGAAAATGAGAATTTGAAGATTGGAAAAGAGAGGTGTTGTTTTTTTTTTTTTTTAATTAAGCAACAAAAGATCCTTTCCATTTACTTGATCTTGTCTCAAGATTCTCTATCTCATGTTTTGCTCACTTAGTTAAGATCGCAAAAGTTGAATTTCATCCACAGTTTTTTGTTAATCACAATTTTATTGTTGCTTTCTTTTAAGCATATGGAATATTAATTGGCATTAATTTGTGGTCTGTTTTTACATTCTTGGAGCATAGTTCTGAAAGTCTGTCAGGACATTTAGAACTATTCTTAATTCCTCTTTCAGGAATGTAATGTCAAATAAGTCAAGTAATTTCAAAATCTTGCAACAAGTTTCCTTATCTATATTCAATTTGAAATGAGCATCAATGTTAAAAAACAGAAAGTGAATCTTCTAGGACACTAGAACACTGGAATCTAGAAGATTCCAGTCCACAGTGCAATTGTGATAAGGGGTGAGGGAGCTGAGTTTTGTTTGTGGCACCACTGATAGTCTCCATCTGATGTTCTCCATCAGATACTCAGCTGGCTGTGCGCTGTCAGTGAACCTCATCGAGGCCAGTACCAGTTCTGAGGGATGGTAGCGGTGCTCTACAACGTGGAGCACCTTTGTATGCCACATTTTTTCCTTCCTGGAGACCTAGTAGGAAAATATTTTCTTCTAACTTTACTCAAAAAACAGAATGGCAAGTAGAGCTTTAGGGTAGAAGGAGAAATAGGTGGAAGTCTATAGATAATATTTATAGGAATATAAACTCTCATTTTTAGCAATCTTGACTAATTTTTGTAATAACTTGCCCCATTCCTAGAGCAGGGAATGACCTGCCTCAAATTACACAGCAATCGCTTGCCAAGTAAACACCTAGTATTTCTCATACATTCAAAAAAATTTTTTTTTCTTATATTTCAGGAAAAAAAGGATGACAGTGAAGCATGGGTTTACAAAGTGATTTTCCTTGCTTTCCATAGCCTCAGCTCCTACTCCTATTTCTTGAGTGTGCTCTGCAGGGGACTTTGAATTCTCAGCAACAACAGGAAAAGAGAGACTGAAATAGGAAATAGCGAAAGGTCAAGCAACTGGGGGGGATTGAGAGTAAATAGAAACTCATTTCTCACCTGACTTAATCCCAGGTACTGGTAGGTAATATACCTTCTTGGTTTTCTCTCTAGTTGCTCTAGAACAAAGTGCATTCACTACAACAACCTCGGCTCCTGTGTCAAAGGACATTAAAAGGTTTTATTGGACAGTGAAGCAGTATCTGATATGGAAAGTAAGCAGTCTGAATGGAAAAATTCTAAAATTACACCCAAAGATATCAAGGAAATGTCAAAGAGTAGACTTTAGGAAATATCACACTTTAATTTCAATATATCCTAGAATCATCCAGTTAAAAACTTATCCTTTATCAGAAAGCTTACACCTGCAATCTTGAGGTGGCCAGTACTTACCTGTGATTTCAAACAATTTGCTGAGGTTTAGAGGACTTACCTGTGATTTCAAACAATTTGCTAAGGTTTAGGGGAAAGGGAAAGTTACTGTTTAAAGGTGCATACTTGCAACTAATAATATAATGAATAGAACTCTAGCACACAATATAGTGATTACAGACAACAAAACTATATTATAAACATTAAATTTCCAAAGAGATTAGATTTTAATTGTTTCTAACTTTAGAAGAAATAATAATTATGCTAGTACTGGAGACCCATAATAATTATGTAACATGAGAAAGGTATTAGTTAATGCTACTGTGGTGATCATACTGAAATATAAATATACCAAATCAACACCCTGTACCCCTTAAACTTACACAAAGTTGTATGTTAAATATACCTCAGTAAAAATTGCCTAAAAATGATTTAAATTTATTTGCTTCAATATCTTTCATGACACAAACATAACTTCTCTGTTTATATAAGAGATAGCTCATGCAATTGTATGTCTGCTGTAGTTCTACAACTTTTAAGATTTTTCTATCACTTCTAGAAATTGGAAAGTGGAGGAGAGAACTTATTTTAAAGACTCAGGCTATAAAACTCATCCTATAAAACAAATGGGAAGACTATTCAATTAATAAAATTATGGCTATTAACTCCTGGTGACCTGTTAAGTCTAAGTGCGGTTGGCACTATCAGTGCTACAGCCTGAGTTTGATCCCCAGCCAGGGAGGTAACCCACATGGTGCTGCAGACCTCTCCTATCTTGCCTGCTGCTCACCTCAGCAGTGCATTCCAGTGGATCTACCTGTTCTGCTCCCCACTCTGTCTCTGGTGAATCCTCTCACCCATGAACCTATGGCCTACACCCCAGTTCTGTTATACAAAACTACAAAATAAAAATTATGGCTATTACAATTTTGAAATAGCAGAAACACTACTTAGAAAATCATGTTAAGATATTTAAATATAGCGATGATGTTAGAAAATTGACACTAGAGGAACTTCCTTATCTAACTCCCAAGAGGACCATCTAACAGTTAACCATGGCAACACTCCACTAAGACAGTCAAGCAGCTTGGGGTGAGACTGAAACACCCCTATGATACAGGGACCAATATGCTACAGCAGAGGAGAAACAGAGGAGGCTCACTCAGCATAGAACAGGTGAGTGGAGAGAAATGCCTGAGGCTATATTCGAGGACAGGAGACATAGACACATCCAGGAACCCTGGGAAGGGGATATTAGAAACAATTGGAGGCACTTACTCTTGAAGGAGGGGAAACCCATTCAGAGGAGCTAGAACATTCAACACAGGTTGGGTCCCCAGTGAACTCTAGACTGCACTGCCCTCCCTCACCCTAGAGATGGGCACTAATCTCCAGAAAGCATTGGGAATCAATTTATTTTATTTTATTTTATTTTTATAAGTTTATTTTACATTTTTACATCCCCCCCCCCATCTCATTGTAGTCCGCATGGGTTTCCCATCACCAAGTCACCTTTGTACCATCACCATAATCCCATGCACTTCTGTCCCGAAAGCATTGGGAATCAATTTATTTTATTTTATTTTATTTTTATAAGTTTATTTTACATTTTTACATCCCCCCCCCCATCTCAATTGTAGTCCGCATGGGTTTCCCATCACCAAGTCACCTTTGTACCATCACCATAATCCCATGCACTTCTGTCCCCACCCCC